CAAGCTCTTTGCCATGGATCATGGTCTTACCATATTTTTAAATTTTATCAGCAGTAAAAGACACTATAATCTCTGTTGTATTCCCGCTAGTTGATGAAGTCTCAATTTTCCTTTTATAATAATTCAGAGACTTTCCCACATAAATTTTGAATTTTTTTCTTGTGGTAAATTTTTTTATGTGGTAAAAAGATCCATTCTCAGATAATATCTCCTCTTGGCATTAAATTTTCTGTAGGGTAAATTCTAAAAGACAAAATGACTAGAATACAATTAAGATTTGGATTCACTGTATCTACAGGTATGTCATATAATTTCTCTTCAACAACCATCAATTCTTTTTCTGTTTCAGCTGTTAATTCCCTGGGTCTATTTAAGTCTTTGTCACCATCTAAGGTTTTGTTCAAATGAAGTATTAGATCAGGTGTTATCCCAACAGCCAATCATAGGCAAGAAATATCTCCTAACAATCTTTAAAATTCATTAAGATTCTGCAAATGGTCTCTCCTAATTTGTGCCTTTTGTGTCCTAACTTTTTGTAAACCTATTTTCTATCCTAGGTAATTGATAGAATCTACACTTTGCATTTTTTCAGAAGCAATTTTTAATCTTCATTTAGTCAAACCTTTCTTTGGTTATTCAAATATTCATTATAAAGTATCTGTATTTGAATCAGACAACAAAATGTCATCCATGTAATTTTTAAATTAGAGACAGTATTTGCTTGCATATTTTTTCCATATTTTAACTGATATTAGCACTATAGGGCTGAAGCCTTCCTTTCTGTCCTCAGTCCCTATACATTCAACCCAACTCATGCTTTGTTTAACTTGAAATAAGGTTCCAATTATAGGAATTGAATATATGCCTCTTGAAGAGGCCAGTTTGGATGCCAAGATTATGGCCTGATATATGACTTAATCCTTTTTCTGGTTCTTGAATCCTGTCCCAAACATTTACAGCTGCTCTATTACATAAGGACAAAGTACATTCATTGTAATGAGACTGTTCTTGAGGATCAGAGTAAGGACCCTCGCCAAGAATTTGATCTCAAATTCTTTTGCTTTCTCCTGGTGCTCTAAATTTTTTACCTCTTCTCTCCAATAACACTTCCAAAAGCAGCTGAGGTCTATTTTCTAGGACCACTAAGATTAATTGAAGCCAATTGAGTGGGACAGCCTTAGTACTTGAATCCCAGGTTTTCAACATTTCCCTGACAAATGGTGAATGTAGGCCATAAAAAACTATTGCTTGCTTTATTTATTTTAGATCACTCATACATATTGGTTCCCATGCATATTCTATAACTACTTTAGGGTACTTTGTGCCAGATGGTCTTTCCGAAGAAATTATCAGATATGCAGCTGAAACTCTGTATAAATCATCCCCAGATCTGGCACATACTGATGAGGCAAAATTTTCTTTTGTACCTTTTTTCCCTGCTCATCAATTACAGTAAATTCATCAATCTTTTCAATTCTTTTTATTTCTGCCTTTTAAAAATCTGAATATCCTATCCAATGTTCTGTTCTAATGTCCTCATTGAGGATTCCAAGTTATGATTTTTTTCCGGGGAAAGATAATGTCTCATCTTTGGATATATCATAACTTTTCAACAGATTCAGAATAGTAAAACTCAATAGGACAAATTCTTTCAGGTAATTTTGTCAAATTGATGCCATCCTTCTCCATAGTATTTGGTGAAGGAGGGTCTTCTTTCTATGTGTTGCTTTCATTGGTTGAATAAAGAAAACTGGCTTGGCCTTTTGATAGCGCAGTCCTTAGGTGGGCAGAGTAGACAGAAAAGAATGCTGGGAAGAAGAGCAGAGTCAGGCAGATGCCATGCTTCTTTTGCCCAAGATGGACACTTGTTATTAGTAATATTTGTAGTTTTTCAGATGTTACCTATTAAACATTTACAATGTCATTTACAATGAATTGGGTAGGTGTAATAATTATTATCAGCCAGTAGGTGTCAACGGTTGCAACCATGTGTCCAAGAGACACCAGCAGCAGTAAATAGCGGTGTTGCTTACTTAGGTACTGAAAATATGCTTTGTTTAACAAATTAAGAGCAGTTATTAGGCAATCATATGAAAGTTGGGGCCCAGGAAAAAGAGAAAATTCAAAGTTTTCTGTCAGTGCGAGTTGCGGGCTGTGTACAGCACAGGGATCATAGGCAGCAGCAGTACGTGTTGATGTGTAACACACAGAGAGACAGCATGTGGATCACCAACTGGGGAGCTCTGAGTAGCAGCCTGCTGCATCTGAGGGCCAGGTAGAACCATGGTTGGAAGAGTCAGTGCCCAAGGTGCCATGCGGCTGGTGTACCGATCCAGAAATTTGTAGAGTGGTCCCCACGTTCAGGCACCAGATGACGTAGAAGATACAAAATAATTCCATACTAGTTCAGAATTATGTATAATTTACTTATGAGAGAATCACAGATCACTGTCCTAAATCAAAGTCCTCTGCATGAATGAAGAAAAGGAAGAGAGTCTAGCAGTCAGAAGGAAAGTAGGAAGCAAAAAAGGGAACATACGCTTTACATCTCCATTTATAGAATAAGAGATCATGCCCGAGTGAGCATGGTATCTTAAAGGATATTTGCTGAAGGCGCTGAAGGAGCTCCCACAGTACACTTCCACAAAATATTGTCCCCCATTCAAAAATGCCTCTAGAATTTAACATAAAGGAAGACATAGTTTCCCAGTAATTCTATCCTGGTTCTACCTTTTTAAATTCTATGTACCCTCACAAGGGACTTCTAAAAGTTCCTCAGACAACCACTGATGTTTACCCAATAATTCTCATAAAGACAAATGAAAGGCTACAAGGATTAAAGCAACTGACATTATGACTATCCTGTACATATACCTTTAGATGTTGTAATTGAACAGTAATGAAGAAAACAGAAAAAGAAATGAAATGTGATTTTCAGAAATTTATACAAAAGTACATTTTTATTAAATTTTGAATATGCTGGAAATCGAATCTAGAACTTTCTTCAGTGTAAGTCACTGGTCAAACCTTCAACCCCAGAGTTATGTTATGAAGGTCTACTTTAAACAAATCGTTTATATTGAGTGGTTTAAATTTTTTTCATAAAAATTAAAAAAAATACAGTGTAAGTTTTATAATATATTCTTTAATTTTTAAACTTATGTTTATGTTATGAACAGCTGTTCATAACATTAAAATCAAATCAGGAGGGAACTTCTTTTAAATAAAACTTAATGGAATAGGCAAAGGAAAAAGTAGAAATACAGAATGGTTCAGGGACTAGCAAAGACACTGCAGGAGTGATTAAACACCTGTGCTTAAAAGTCAGCAGACCTGGAGCTTTTTATTGGTTTCTTATTAGCACCTTACTTATAAGAAATAAATCTTATGACAGTTCAGCTAATCTAAAGTGTAGGGTGAAAATGAACCTGTGTTAAGGAAGCAATATTTACAGAATTGCTCAAGAAGAGCATTAAAACAACCTAAGCCCTGATATTTCAAAGAAATACTTAAAAAGCTAATGCAGAAATATTTTAAAATATTCTGGGCATTCAAGGATAGTTAAGTTTTTATGTAAATTTCAACCAAGTAATTCAAGATAAAGTAGAATGAATGAGAAACATGAAGAAACTTGAATCTAATTAGACATAGTGATTATAGATATATGATTATATATTAGATGTTATGCATTTGGTTAGCCTTGTCTATCAACTTAATGCAGTGGAGAGTCATCTGAGAAAAGAATCCTGAACTGAAGAATTGTGTAGATCAGAATTACCCTTGGACATACACGTGTGAACATTCTCTTTTCAGCAGATTGGTGTAAGAAAGCTCAGCCCATTGTTGTATGGGTGGTACAATTCCTAGGCAGGTGGTCCTCAGCTATTTAAGAAAACTATTTAAAGATGAACCTCTGCCAGCAATACAGATAGTAAGTCAGCAAACAGTTTTTCCAAGGTTGCTGTCTCTGAGTTCCTGCTTGAACTCTTGTCCTGAGTTCCTGCTCTGACTTTAGTCACTGATGGTTTGTGACCTTGACTGAAGAACCAAATAAACCATTTTCTCTCCAAGTTACTTTAGGTTAGGGTACTTTATAACAACATCAGAAGGCAATACAAGACAGTATAATATAATTTCTAAAAAGATACTATAAATTAAAACTTAGTTTGTACTGTTAAAGTTACTGTAAAATAAAGAATTCACAACTAAAATTAACAGCCCCAAGAGTTTACAGCCCTGACAAAGGCAAATAAAAACTATTCATCATGTATACTGAATATATCACTGAATACATGACTGAATTTTCAACACAAGATCTGTATACAAAAAATTTTTGAGACTTTCAATTCCTCCAGGATTTTTTAAAGCACAAGGTACCAGGTTAAAATCACACAAAATGGAAATACTTAGCAACTTGTGAATTTATTGTGACTTTGACTAAAACAAGAGCAAGTCAGTAAAAATTTTGAGAAAGGGTAAGCTGAGGTGGGGCAGCCTTGTTCCCTTGCACAGGAATAGCCGAAGGAGGCAGGAAGAATGAGGCTGGTTATTAGCAGTTGTTGGAGACTTGGGAAAATAGAAGAATGCAGCAAGCTGCAGTGTCTGCAGAGAATCAATGGTGTCACTGTCTCTATCCAGAAGGTTCTTTTCTCTATAATTATTCTCTGGTGTTCTTACAGAAACTGGGAAGAATGTCAAGAAACCTATCCTTGTGAAAGCTAGGGCATGGGAGAGCAGGAAGTGTTGGAAGAATCACAAAGCTCTACTCAATAATAATATTCAATGTAATTAGGGGCCAGAAATTAGTGTAGATATTGACACAACTAAATCAAATCTTCCACAGATTTTTTTTTGCTAATTAATACTTATGGAATGTTCTCCAAAGTTACAACAGAATACAAATGTGTTTTAGTTAAACTGAATATGCAAAAGTTTGCATATATTCTTTTTTTTTTTCAATGTTCAGTTTCCTTTAATGACCCCCATCTCCCCTGAAGGGTAGGTGCAGGCAGCTAGGTGACGGCAAGACATGTTCACTTGAAGATCTTGCCTTGATTGACGGCTTTGCCCACATGCTGGAAGGCCCCCTCCCAGGAAAAGTACTCTCGAACCAGGGTCTGGGTCTCCTCGCTACCAGGATCCAGTTTCCGCCATGTATATGACTCATAGTCCACCTGCCAATCTGGACTTAGCGGAAAGGCAAGCTCTTGGCCTCTGAAGACCCAAACGCCAGAAATGGAGCTGCTGTTGTTGGTTCCAAAGAGGATGACACTAGCGAAGGCATTCTTCCTCAGTTTGTCCAATCGCTGGAACATGCCAGTGATGAGGTTGTAACTCATAAAGGTCTGAGTGAGCTACTCAGGGAAGCGATATTCAGCATACCACAGGGACCAGCCATCCTTATCAAAGTGCTCCCAAAAATATGGCAGCGCCACGGAGAGGGTGTCCTCGTTGGAGTACTTCCGCTTAAACTCGTCCAACACAAAGGTACTCTTGGGCAAGTGAGCAAAGGGGTCCTTGGCCTTAGGCTCAGCAGCCAGTGCCTGCTCACACTCATCCATCTCCTCAGGAGCTGGGGCAGCTGCCTTTTTCTCCTCTTTCCGTTCAGCCTGGGGCTTCTGTTTCTCTTCTCGTGAACCCTTTTCTTTCCTTGGAGTATCTTTTTTAGGCTTGCTCTCTGCAAACTTCTTGGCATCAAACTGGGCCATCTTTTCACACAGCTTCACCTCCCCCAAGACTGCCCTGAACTGGGGCTGGTTAATGCAGGTGAGGAACCATCGGTTGGTATTGGGGAAGGCCTGGCGAAAAGAAGGCTCTAAGACCTGCTTGTAGAGCCACAGAAGGGTACAAACAACTGTGATATCAGCCAGAGTCACTCGCTCACCCACCAAGAAAGTCCTTGTCTTCAAATGAGTGTCCAGCAGCCCCAGGATTCGCCTCACCTCTTCTTTTGCATTTTCGGTGGCCTGTTTGTTATGGTGCATGATGCCCAAGGTGGGGAACACTCAGGTGCTGGCTGGAGGGACGATATCACTGCCAGCAAAGCTCACCCACTGCACCACCTGAGCTGCTGCCTCTGGAGTACTTCCCCGCAGGTCCTCGTTGCTTACATAATAGGCGATGGCATTGCTCTCAAACACGCAGAATCCATCATCACCCTCAAATGCTGGAACCTTGCCAGCAGGAAACTTTCTGAGAAATTCAGGGGTGTGGTTGGTTTGGCCAAAGTGGAAGTGGGGTGGTGAGGAGAGCACGCGGACCTGAGCCCCACTGTACTGAGCAGCAATGAGGGCCTTGAAGGCTCTCCAGTTTTCAGGATATGTGTACAGGGTCCCAGCCGCCATGGTGATTCCGCAGAGAAAGGGGGTGGGGCTGTCGGTGCTCAGTTTGCATATATTCTAAGGCAGACATTAAAGAAGTAAAATATGAAGTACTTTGATTTAAAATGAATTAAAACTAATTTAAATCAACCTCTCTCAGAACCCAGAAATACCACTCTTGGGCATATATCCAAAAGATGCTCAATCATATTATAAGGACACTTGTTCAACTATCCTTATAGCAGCATTATTTGTAATGGCCAGAACCTGAAAACAACCTAGATGTCCTTCAACCGAAGAACTAATAAAGAAAATGTGGCACATTTACACATTAGAGTACTATTCAGCAGTAAAAGTATAATGACACTGATGGGGGAAGGTAATTGGTTAATTATAATAAACCAACTACTTGGCCTCATAGCTTAGAACATAGGTGGGTGGAATAAACAGAATAGGATGCTGGGCGGAAGAGGAAGTGAGGTCAGACTCTGCTCTGCTTCCGGAGAGATCCGACAGCTCCGCTCTCTGGACAGAGACACCATGATGGACGGAGGCTAGAATCTTCCCGGTAAGCGCACCTTGGGGTGCTTACAAACATTACTAGAAATGGGCTAGTCCAGGTGCAAGAGTTAGCCTAGAAGAGGCTAGATAGAAATGGGTCAAGCAGTTAAATGAATACAGTTTGTGTGTTGTTATTTCGGGCATGAGCTAGCCAAGCGGCCGGGGTGTTGGGTCCCCGCCGCTGCTCTTATTTCAACATGACACTTTTAAATTTGCATGTAAATGGATAGAAACTAGAAAAATAACAACCTGAGTGAGGTAACTCAGACCCAGAAAGATTAACATGGTATGTACTCACTCATAAGTGGATACTAGCGGTAAAGCAAATGATATTGAATCTATAGTTCATGATCCTAAAGAAGCTAAGTAACAAGGTGGACCCTAAGAAAAACATACATAGATCCATCTGGAAAGGGGAAATAGACAAGATTGTCTGACAAAATTTTGAGCGTTATGGTGGGAGAAGTAGGGAGGATGAGGGGGAAGACAAAGGGAGAAGGGGACGGTGGAGACAACTTGAGGGAACGGGAAAGTTGAGATGGAAAAAGGACAGAGATGAGAGCAAAGAAAGAGATATTTTGAGTGAGAGAACCATTATGGGGCTAGCAAGAAACCTGTCAATAGAGAGACTCCCAGGAATTCACAAGGATGACCCCAGCTATGACCCTAAGCAACAGAGGAGAGGGTGCCCTATCTGGCCTTGCTCTGTAGTCAGACTGATGAATATCTCATATATCACCATAGAACCTTCATCTAGCAGCTGATGGAAACAGGCAGGGATATGCATCAGAGCATGGACTGAGTTTCTAAAGTCCAGTTGAAGAGTGGGAGGAGTGAAAATATGAGCAAAGATGTCAAGACCATGATGGGGACACCTGAACTAATGGGAGCTCACCAACTCCAGCCAGAAAGAAAAGGAAACAACACAGATACAAACAAGTCCCTCTGAATGTGGGTGATAGATGTATGGCTGGGACAGACTGTGGGGAAACTGGCAGTGGCACCAGAATTTATCCCTACTCTTTTTTTCTGACTTTTTTGGATCCTATTCTCTTTGGACGGATACCTTGCTCAGCCTAGATATAGTAGGGAGGACCTTGGACTTTCCCCAAACCAATGTCCTTGACCCTCTCTGAGGAGTGGATTTGGGGTGTGGTGGTAGGATTAAGCAGAGGAATGGGGATGAGGGGAAGGAATGGAACTGGGATTGGTATGTAACATGAAAAAAGATTCTTTGTTTTCTTTTAAAATAAATAAATAAAATTTTAGCTATTTTAAGTTAATTGAAAATAAAACACAGATGATATTCACTACTTACTGAATTGAAAAAAAGGAAAAAAAGCAGAATAAATAGCTGATAAACACTTGAAATTTTCAAAATAATTTGTATTTATATTATTTGTTAAATGCTCTATATAAGCTAGTGAGATGGTTTTCAGGTAGGGTGCCTCCTGCCAATCAAGCATGCTGAGCTGTATTTTATTCCTGGGGTTCACATAGTAGAAGGAAAGAACAGATTCTAGCAGTTTGCCCTCTGGCCTCCACACATATACCAGAGTATGCCCAAGTTTCCCACCATAATTAATTAATTAATTAATTAATTAATTAAATCCAGAGATTGAGGGTGAGGTGAAAAGAAAATAAAAACCATATCCTAGCATGATGACTCAGAGATTATGATTACTTGATATGCAAGCGTGACGGTCTAGATTAGAATATATAGTATCAACAAATCCTACCAGGTGTGGCTCCATTTTCCTATTCCCCTAACATTGGGATCCAAAATTTATCAATCAATCAATCTCAGCTCACTAGTCAGTCAGGTTAGTCAAAAGGTGATATCATCAGGAGATCCTAAAGGAAATCAACATTTTCCTTTGTCTTTAGCATGAATGGACTTGCATAGCCCTGTGCATATACCACTCCAGAACACACAAAAACACACAATTTTCCATAATGGAGATGACAACATAGCATGAGGCTTCAGCACTTACATTCCAGAATGTGCTAAGAGTCCAAGTGTATAACATTAGTTAATCATCTCAAAAAAGCTTAAAGGTCCAAGAAAGTGTCCTAAATGAGTCAAAACTACAACAACAACAAATACAGAAGCAAACAATAACAATAGCAATGTAAGTGGATAAAAAGCAGAAAGAAATAATTTAAATAAAAATGAAAACAATTGAAATCAAAGCTCTCTCTTTAATTTTTTTTTCATTAAATTTGTCCTGTTGCTATATTTATCAATGCCAAACACAAGGAATTGAAAACACAAATTACAAATTTATATGAGCACAAGTTACAATAAAGGAAATTACATTAGTACAGACCCAATAGATCTTCATCTAGTAATACAATATCCAATTAATAAATCCAAAAATCAGCTTTAAAGTGATCAATTTACTAAAGTTCCAAAAAATTTAAAACTTATGCCTGAGGATCTATATAACTGGTCAGAAGTATGTGTACAAAAAAATTCCCTTTATACCTTCCAAAAAAGACCTAGTTATATGTTCTAATGAATTCTACAAACCATTCAAGAAGATATAATTCATATTTCAAAACTATATTATTAGAATAACTATGACAGCAATACTTAAATAAGCTCAGAAGATCAGATAGGAATTTAAAATAAAAAAAAATACTTAAAAAATTATTGCTGGGCAATGGTGTTGCACGCCTTTAATCCCAACACTTGGGAGGCAGAGACAGGCAGATCTTTGTGAGTTTGAAGCCAGCCTGGTATACAAGAACTAGGATAGGCTCCAAAGCTACAGAGAAACCTGTCTTGAAAAAACAAACAAATAAAAATACTTAAAAATTATAGATCTACATCCACCATGAAATAATGAGGATAATCAATAGCAAGTAATTATAAAAATAAAACCAATACAATTTGAAAAGATTAACTTACAACAACTTGATGAAGCTATTCCTGGAAACCAAGGGTGACTTCACATGAAAAATAAAGTGTCATTACAAGAATAACAAAGAGAAAAATAACACACTGACCCTATCAATAAATGTATAAAAACAAAACAAAACACAACACTTGACAGAGTTCAGCATATATTTCTTTGATCACCAATAACTAAACAGAGAAGAAAAAAAATCTGCAAAACAAGTTCAGTTTTGAGGCTTGTTTACTGTAAGGCATCACTCATGCATGAAGGTCATTTCATGGCTAGCCAGTGACTGATCTGAAGTTGTGTTTAAATTCCTGGAACTAGAAATATACCACTGATGGCTGGCTGATTTATGTAAGGCTTAGAGTCTGCAATTACTCTTTGGGGACATTATGGGTATTTTTCCCTCCCTCTAGCAAAGACAAGAAACTCACAGTTTTCCTCTACCATGAATTTACACCAAACATTGCTCTTACATAGCATGCACACAGGTTCCCAAAGTAGGGGAGCTGAGTATGGCTCTCATTATATTCTCCCTGTTCCTTACAGATCTCTGAAAACTCTGCTAAGACTGTTCTATTGTAGTTCTAGTTGGGAAAACCATTCTTTCTATTATTTATGCATTGGGGGATCTACAATACAGACTTTACAAAGTAAATGAAAATATATATGCTTAGTGTGTTAAGCAATTCAATAAAAAAGCAGCTTAAAGATGTAGTCAGAACTTGGTGTTTGTTAAGAATAAATTAAATATTTTTGTAGGAATAATGAGACTGGAAAAAGTGGATAATTGTGTTGCTTTTTTGTATTCTTTCTACTCATTTGACTCTTTGCTTTTTGGGGTCCCAACACTCAGCTTCCAAACAAATCACACATGGAGACTTTTTCCTTCTTCTAAATCCCTGGCCTTAACTTGATTTATTTCTAGCCAGCTTATTTTTACCTTAAATTATCCTGTCTATCTTTTGCATCTGGGATTTTATCTTTCTCTATTTCTGTATACCTTTCTTTACTTCTTTCTCCCTGGCTGACTGGGTGGCTGAGTGACTGGCCTTTGACGTCCTCCTCTTCTTGTCCTAGCTTGCACCTTCTTTGTGCCTCTTCTCTAAATTTCTCCTTCTTTTTATACTCGCTTCCTGCCAGCCCCACATTTCCTTTCTCCTTTCTTTCATTTGCCATCCAGCTCTTTATTAGACCATCAGGTGCTTTAGAAAGGCAAAGAATCACAACGTTATAGTTAAACAAAGGCAGCATTTGAACAGGCATCTTTACTTTGTTAAATAAGTGTTCCACAGTATAAAAAAACAACACATTTTAAAATAATATTCTGCAACACAGTAGGTTTTTAGTGGCTGCAAAATGTGTCAAGTGACATTTCCTTGATGGATGTCAGAATTCCTGGCTTATTAAGAAGCCAGAAATTTTACAGAAATTAAGAGACTTGGAGTTGTTTTATTTTGGTGGTTTGAGTCAGAAAAACACTGATAGAAAAGCTTACAGTCTCTACCAATTTTCAAATTTTAACCTCAAAATTATGATTCTTAAATGATATCTTTT